TTTTTGGGGGTACCGGGGATCAAACTCGGGTCCTTGCACTTGCAAGTAAGCTAGAATTTAAATGTAGATTTTTCTGGCCCCAAAGTGGCTGTGCCAGAATGAGACATAATGATTTAACTGGGGGGGGTTGGGGGGTGGGGGGTGGGTAATAGTGCACACCTGTAATCCCAGCACTTGGGAAACTGAGGCATGAGTATGAGTTTGAGGGCAGCCTGGGCTATATACTGAGGCCCTCATTCCAAAAACCATGAAGGTGGGGTTGGGATGACACATGAAAAAAAGATAACAGGAAAATATCCCAAGTTGGTTAAGGTGATGAAATCATAGATGCTATGTTTTGGTCACTTCTGTTTTTCTTACTGCAACTACTTCTGTACCTTAAAAGAAAATATAGGGCTGGGTGTGGTGGTACTCACCTGAAATCCTGGTACTTAGAACATTGAGGCAAGAGGAACATGAGTTCAAGGCCAGCCTGGACTATATAACAGGACCCTATCTTTAAAAAAAAGGTGGGGGGCAGGAATTTAGCTCAGTGGTTCCGCTGCCTGCCTCAAAAGCACAAGGTGCCAAGTTTGATCCCTGGTACCAAAATAAAAAAGAAATTGTAAATTGCTAGAACCTTTAGAACAGCAGTGCTTAAATTCTGTCACATTTTATAGGTGAGCTGTTATTAGCATTGAAAGATAATTTTCTTCTTTTTTTAAAAAAAATAATGTGCTGAGAATCAAACCCAGGGCCTTATGTACACTGAGCAAGCACTGTACCACTGGGCTGTTCTCCTAGGACCCTAAAGTTTTGCTCTTGCTCTCTTTCTCCCCTTAATTTTAAAAATATTTCTTGGTGCCAGGGATTTAGCTCAGTGGTTCTGCTGCCTACCTCGCAAGCCCAAGGTCCCAAGTTCGATCCCCGGTATCAAAAAAAAAAAAAACTTCTTGGCTAGGTGTGATGGCACATGCCTGTAATCCCAGCACTCAGGAGGTTGAGGCAGAAGGATCGCCAAGAGTTTGAGGCCAGCCTGGGCTACATACATAGTTCAAGGCCAGCCTGAACTACATATTGAGACTCTCAGACTCTCTGCCCCCCAAATTTCTTGACCTTGACAAGGTTAATTCCAGCTACTCAGGAGACTGAGGCGTGAAGATCAGAAATTCAAGGCCAGCCTGGGCAATTTATATTTAGACATTGTCTCAAATCCCCAGTACGACAAGAAAAATTTTTTTTAAATTTAACTTATTGAAACAATAGTAATTTTTAAAATAATGTTTATTTGCATAAAACATGGAAGCAAGGGGGGGGAAGTTATTTCTAATCCTGTCAACCTTAATGAAACTGTCAAATTATTTCTACTTTCAAATTATTTTCTAATTTTCACTCATTTATTCATTCCATTATTGAATATCTCTGTTTACCACTGTCTTGTCTGTATTGATATTGCCAGCAAAAATACTTAAATAGTAACTCTACCTTAATTCCTAAAGCTAACAACTAAATGTAGAGTTTGAGACAAAGAAACTGTTTCTCTTTTCTTGAAACTAGATTAGAGTTCTGTGGCCCAAAGCATCCTCTAAATTTGTTTCTAATTTAAATATAAAAGTTTAAATTGTGTCCTTTAATATTGGTGGGTAATGTTATAAAGAATCCACTTGTCAAAAAATAAGCTTTTGAAAGGAAAAAAAAAAAAAGAAAGGAAAGTATTCCAGTGGATGGGGACTAAAATCAGGAGATTCTAGCAGCTAGCTGGGAAAAGCCAAGTTTATCACATCTGTATGTGGATGGGCTGACATTGGGAGAGAGAGAGTAGCAGTTATCTGGGAGATTTCATCCTTGTGTGGATGGGATAACACCAGGAGAGATATTAGCAACTAACTGGAAAAGGAATTAGACTTATATAGTTTTGAGGGGGCTAAGGAATCTGGGGTGAAATATTTGTAAGTTGGATGCCCAAGGATGGTCTGCTCAGGTGTGTGGACTTCTTGGGGTGGGGGTGGGGGGTGGGGTGGGGGTTGTATACTTCATTTTGAGGGCCAGGGATTTAGCTCAGTGGTGACAGCACCTGCCTTGCAAGCGCAAGGTCCCGAGTTCCATCCCCCGTACCAAAAAACAAAACAAAACAAATATACTTCATTTTGAGTCCATTTGCCCTATTTACCGAGAAGCTGTTGCTGTCTGCTAAAAGCAGCCTGCTTTTGCTTTGTCCCGTTTGTTTGTGAAGGATTCACTTAAGTCAAGCCTGACAGGTAGTATGTTCTTTTGTATTAGTGGGTAAAATCCTTTTTTTAAAAAAAACAGTAGCAGAGTTTTACTAAAAATAGGAAAAGAAGCAGGCTGCAGAGTGAGTCTGGGCCAAGTAAAAGTAGGGAAAGAAGTACGCTCTGCAGCTTGAGAGTGAGGCACCATGCAAGAGAGAACAAATAGCTATTTTGTTTTTTTGAGACAGGGTCTTGCTGTGTATGTTCAGGCTGGCATTAAACTCACAGCAATCCTCCTGCCTCAGCCTCCCAAGCACTGGGATTATAAATATGTGCCACTATGCTCTGCTTACAATCAGGGTTTTTTTGAGGCAGGGTCTCCCTTTGTAGTTCAGGATGGCCCTGAATGTACTATGTAGCCTAGGCTGGCCTCGAATTCCTAGTGACCCTCCTGCCTCAGCCTCCCAAGTGCTAGGATTACAGGCCTGCACCACCACGCCTGGCTTTAAAATCTGTTTTTAAAAAGTATCTTAGCTAGGTTTTGTTAGCATGTACCTGTAGTCTTAGCTATTTGGGAGGCTAAGGCAGAGGGGAAAGAAAATTCAATTAATTAACAGAACAAAGAATACAGCTTTAGGGATAGACAAAAGATTTTTGTTTTGTTTTGTTTTATGCTGGGGATAGAGCCCAACAACTCCCACCTGCC